CAAAAAAAAAAAAAAAAAAAGAAATAATATTTCTAATGATGAAGCTTTCATATCTCATTTTAAAAAGTTGAAAAGGCTGGGCTCGGTGGCTCAGCCTGTAATCCAAGTACTTTGCCACTGCACTCCAACCTGGGCAACAAAGTGAGACTCTGACTGAAAAAACAAAAGAATACTAAGATAGGATGTTCCTTCCTCCCTTCCTCCCGCCCTCCCTTTCTTTCAAGTTGGAGTCTTATTCTGCCACCCAGGCTGCAGTGGCACACTCATGGCTACTGCAGCCTCCAGCTGCTGGGCTTAGGCGATACTTTTACCTCAGCCTTCCAAGTAGCTGGAACTACGGGCACACACTACCACAACCCAGCTAATTTTTTGATCTATTGTAGAGATGAAGTCTTGCCAAGTTGCCCAGACGGGTCTGGAACTCATGAGCTCAGGCAGTCCTCTCCGCCTCCAACTCCCAAAAGTGCTGGGATTACAAGCATGAACCGCCAAGCCTGGCTGGGTGTTTTCCATTACTTGCGACTTGAGAAGTCAGAGAATTATGTGACAGTAAAGTTTTACAAAGATCTAGAGACACAGGAAGTGCTTATGGCATAATACAAGAAAATAGAAGGAGACGTTTTAGTCTGATTGTCAGTTCCTTAAATACACGTGCCTGGATGACCAGATAGGAAGAAATGCATCTCAGTGTCAATTGTATGCTTCCTCTTGGTGGTAGAATGAGGGGAGATTTAATGTTCCTTATGCTTTTTTCAACTTTTTTTTTTTTGAGTTGGAGTCTCACTCTGTCGCCCAGGCTGGCATGCAGTGGCACACTCACAGTCACCCTAGTGTTGACCTGTTGGGCTCTGGCAATCCTTCTGCTTCAGCCTTCCAAATAGCTGGAACCACAGGCACACGCTACTGCGCCCAACTAATTTTTTATTTTTATTGTAGAGATGAGGTCTCGCCAAGTTGCCTAGGCTGGTCTCAAACTCCCAGGCTCAGGCAATCCTCTCGCCTCGGCCTCCCCAAGTTCTGGGATTACAGGCTGAGCCACCACGCCTGGCCCTAAACCTTATATTCTTTTTTTTGAGTTGGAGTGCAGTGGCACGGTCCTGGAGTGCAGTGACACGGTCCTGGCCACCACAGCCTTGACCTACTGGGCTCAGGCAATCCTTTCACCTCAGCCTTCCAAGTAGCCGGGACTACAGGCTACCACGTCTGGCTAATTTTTAATTTACTGTAGAGATGAGGTCTCGCCAAGTTGCCCAGATGGGTCTCAAACCCGCAGGATTAGGCAACCCACTCGCCTCAGCCTCCCAGAGTGCTGGGATTACAGGCTGAGCCACCAAGTCCAGTCCCTTATATTCTTAACAAGCCAAACCTAAAGATTGAGGAGGAAAAGGAATCCATCTGGGCTACACTCTCAACAGCACTTGCCAAATAACAGACTACCGCAATTACTTTCTAACTAGCCTCCCCACCTCAGCCCTTGCCCCTACCCACAGCAGCTAGGGGTCCTCTCTGCCCCCAAATCAGATGAGAGCACTCCTCTGCCCAAACTCGCCCATGGCTCCCCTTTTCAGAATAAAAGCCAAAGCCCCTTCTGGTGACTGAAAAGCCCTGCAAACTCCCTCCTTCATGCCCTTCCATCAGGCCTGTCCCCATCCCTTCTTGGTGACATGGCCACCTGAGCTCAACCTTCAAACCAACTTCTACAACACTTGCCACTTCCATTCCCTGACGAGCACACACTGCTAATCTCTACCTCGATGCACACTTTCTATGGCATTTATCTTGTCTGCTCTTTCTCCACTGACTCTGAAGACAGGGACGTTTGTCTGCATCTGACCGACTGGGAGCCATGGTTTCCACAGACTCTAGGATGCAGCTGGCACAGATGACAGCAGGCTTCTCAAGTCTCAGCACCTGGTGACATCCTGGCCAAAAATTTGTTGTTGTGGCCAGTCCTACACCTCCTCGTAGGATGTTGGCCTATGCCCACTCAATGCCAGTAGCAACCCACACTCGTGCCCGCCCAGTCATGACAGCTAACATCTCCAAACCTCGTCAAAAGGTCCTGGGAGCTGGGCTCGGTGGCTCAGCCTGTAATCCCGCGCCTTTGGGAGGCGGAGGTGAGTGGATTGCCTGAGC